TTTTTTTTTGGCAACAACTTTCTCACTTACCACAGAAAGAAATAATAAAAAAATCAACCAGAAAAAAAGTTCTGGGTAGCAACATTTTTGGTTTTTCTGAGAACAAATCCTTCTGTGTTCACATCAGACGTTCAGTATGAGCTTCAGAGACACAAAGACCGAGCACGCAAATCATATAAATACAGTAGAACAAAAACAGACCCAAACTACTTCTTTTTATTCCAAAGAAATGATGTCAAATGGAAGTTTACTTTATAAACCTCAATAACTTAAATACTTTTCTTTTTTTCTAACATGGCATCTAATTTCCACGTGATTCTTTTTATTCTTTTAAATCAAGCAACAAAACTCATGGTTTAGTGGCAAAAAGAGGATAAATACTTAAAAAAAAAACTGTACAGTAGCCGTGTCTGTCTTAACATAAGTTACTGTCAGGCAACTGTACAGATTATTTACAGTTTAAATACAATAAAATGGAATTTGTTTTTAAAAAAAAAGGCAACTTATATGAAATGTAATAATTCAAAATAAAAATCTGAGTCATTTTTCAGCTTATATAATAGTTGCTATCCTGACACTCCAGAAATGAAATCAGTCGCTCTTATTTTGAAATGTTTGGAGTAAAGGTGGTGAAAAAAAAATTAAAATAGGCCTCTTTTTGCACAGCTACACGCCTGGAGGTGGAGTGAATAGAAACACATTCATAGCTGAGAGCACCTGGTACAGCAGATGCCCGGTAAACATTTCAGTCTTCTGCAGAGGAGAGGAGGGTTTTTTTTTTTTTTTTTTTTTGGTTCGAGGAGGGGAATGGATCTGGAGCTGGCCCCGCCCCCCTGCCGTCAGTCCACGTCGCTCAGGTCGCTGACTGGCTCGTCCTGCACGATGCTCAGGTGGTTCATGGCGCGGCTGAAGGCGATCTGGACGGCCTTGCGGATGCTGGAGGAGCGGCCTTCCATCATTTTGATCTTGTCGATGGTTTTGTCCATCCCCAGGGGAACCATTTTGGATCTAGGAAGCCACTGCCTGAGGAGGTGGAACAGAGTCAGGGTCAGGATGTTTCGTCCAGGATGCTCAAACCCCAAAACAAATACCTCAGAATCCCAGAGACGGACAAAATGTTGGCTTTGGAGGACAGAAACTGACATCATTGGAAATAACTGCAGAAATCTATGAATGGACCAGTAAATAAATAAATAAATAAATACACTTAAAATGCACCAATTAAATTTAAAAGGGAGAACTTTACCTCGTTTTATAATTTAACTGACCAACATATTTATTATTCCAGCTTATTTCCAATAAATTATATATTTTAACACATAATTTATTGTTTTTAAAAATATATACTCTTAAATGTTTATATTTAATTATTTTTTTTATAAATTTCCCCAAAAGTCTTTTTTTTTTCATTTCCATGTGTTTTTATWTTTCTCTGTCTCCTGTTTTACATTTCTTTATGCATTTCTGTCTCATTATGTAATGAAGGTGGGCGGGGCTTCATGGGTCAGCTCCTCTCCTATTGGTCAACAAACAGGAAGGAGCAGGAACCATGTGCAGATCGACTGWGCTGCGTCAGTTTAGCTTAAGTTTTAGTTTAAAATAAAGGCACAGGTAAGTGTTTTACTCGTCTTTGTTTTAAACTAAACCAGTCTTATGTTTTATAACGTTGGTTCCGCTCTACTTGAAGAGTACATACCAGGTAAGTATTAGGCTATATTATGAACTGCTACTTATTTTACTTTTATCTGTGYTTCTTTATAATGTGTTGGAATTTGTTTACTCATCCCGATTCWTTGATTTAAAAATAATAGACTTGTCCGACATCCTTCTGCGACAATTTAACGTGGACTCTGGTGAAATTACCAGGAGCCTCTGGAGGCGAGAGCCATTTGTTTCTCCTGCTGACAGGTGAAGCTGCGGAGGCACCGGAGAATAATGATGGGCTGACGGAGGGGTTGACAGGTTTACCCTTGTAGAGGCTCGTGTCGGCTTAAATCACCGGGGCAGACGGCGGCACTCACCAGCTGCGCTTGTTGTCGAAGAACAGGACGAGGAAGAGCTTCTCTCCGGTCTTGTACTGCATCTGCTCTCCGATGCGGAGCACGTCCATGGGGGGGGTGGGGATGGACACCCCGTTGTGCTGGCAGCCGACGCGCGGCATGTGGGGGTCTATGATCTGCTCGAGGCGGGGGAGAAACACACAGCTGAGATCGCTTTATGTTTCTGTTCGTGTAAAATGAAACGGCGCCATCTAGAGGAGAAACTGAACACTGCAAACAGTAATAAATCAGATGTCAGCTCGTGCTGCACACRCACTCACCAAGGCAGGGTAGGAGGGGTATCCGCTACATTTGGCCCAAACTAGCTTTAGAGGTTCCAGCGTAACTGTAGCAGCACTAGCTGGCATCCAAATGTTGCTGTTGCCAACCTCTACAGGAACAACACAACACAACACAACACATTAAAAAAGCCAAGTTATAAGAGTCAGGCGACACTTTTAGTGTTTAATTACTSTAACCCATCACATCGAAACAAGGATTAAGTCTAAAAGTTGTATGTGGAGAAATAGGCAGATATAGTGTTTTGAAAACACTTGCAAAAATTACAGTTTGTCAAAATATAAAAAAAATGTGTTATCAATGTCTCATTTCAATGAACTGTCTGAAATATTTTCCTAAAAATTTTTGAAGCACTTTTTTGGAGCATTAGAAAAAGAAAAAAAAAACATTTTGAGGAAAAACGCCTTAAAATGTTGAGATTTTCCCTGTGAGCTAGCAATGTTTTTGTTTCTTTCCAGCTGGGAAA